GAGTCATGGTTGATGTACAGAGGTCAATGCTGTGCAAGCAAAGACACTGAGTTACCTGTGTTGACCCTAGCAGTCCTCCAGCAGCTGTCCCACAATCCCTACATTGACCACTCTGCTCTCAGTTGTGAACTTCACTGCCCAGGAGCACAGAGACCAGAAGGCCCCTCCTTCCTTTTAATGCCCCATGAATTTTGAAAATGCCTGTTCCTGATTGCCCAGCCTGGTGAGCACACCTGGAAGCTCTCCACTGTTGTGAACAACTGCCCAACAGACCATGCTGGCTACATGCTCCAGATGAGCTCCAGCTTGGCATAGACAGGAGATACTGGATCTCCTAGGCCTGTGGCGAGAAGAGGCTCTGCAAGCACAGCTATGGACCCACCATAGAAATGTGGCCATCTATGAGCAGATTGCATGGGGGTTGCAGGAGAAGGTGTATGACAGGGACCAGCAGCAGGGCTGCATGAAAGCAAAGGGCATGTCAGGCATACCTGAAGGCCAGGGAGACCAATAGTGATCCACAGGCCTGCTGTTTTCACAAAGAACTGCATGCCATACTTAGAGGAGAACCCACCACCGTGGATGCCTCCAGGGAGCCTGAGCCACAGTTCCCTGACCTGAACAGCAAGGAGGAGGAGGAAGATGGGAGACAAGCAACCAGGGGAGGGGTCCAGCTATGCCATTAGCCAGGAGCTGTTTGAGACTCCAATGCATCTAGTCAGTCCTGGCAATCAAGAACGAGTGAGCCCAATGGAAGGGAAGGATCTTGGGGTAAGTGTGTAAATTTATTTCCCATTACAGTGGTGGCACTCCCAACTTAACAGGACACATTTATCGATTTTGCATTATTTTACTTCTACTAGAAGAGGCAGCAGTACAAAAAAGAGAAGTAGTGTTGTTATATGCTTTTCATTCCCCTGTAGAGTTAGGCAAGGTGTGTACCATGAGGAGAAATTTGTTTATGTCCACAGGGATGTCCCTTGAATCCTTCTGAGAGATCTCGATGATACTTTCATAGAGGTATTTTGCAGTCCTTTCCAGAAGGTTTCTAGGGATGGCAGCCTTATTTCTTCCTGTGAGGTAAGACACTTTCCCATGCCAGTCAGCGGTAACTTCAGCAGGCCATTGCAGTACACAGGCTAGCAGCATACAGGCCTAGGCAACTTTGGGTCACCAGCAGCAGCTGTGATCTCTGTGCCTTTGTCACCCTCAGGAATGAGATATCAACTAAAATCACCACAGTCTGTGGAAAATGGTGCCAGTATTCAGTGCCACTGCCCTAGTTTCATGCAACTGAGCAATTCCTGCCTCATTTCCCTCACCCCTAGCAAGACTTATTCACCACGGCTGGTGCTGAGTGGTGCCGTATACAAGCACTCCAAAGCAGAAGTGTCAATAGGCATGGCCTGTTTAAAACTTCGGGGGAGCGAGGGAAGTGAGTTCTGAACTTTAACTTTTGCTTTCTGTTGTGATTATACTGACAAGGGTACCTCTGTGTTTTATCTGTAACTGCTGAAGTTGCAGCCTTGAAGGGGTTCCCCCTTCACACCAGCAGAATACCTGAGCCAGATAAGGAGGAGAAAGAAGAGGACTTGGGACAACATGTTCAGTGAGATCCTGCAAGATAGTGCTACATGAGAATGGGAGCAGAGGGCCTGGAAGGTGAACATTGCAGACAGCCTGGAGAAGGAGAGTGTGGAGAGGAGAAAGGCCCAGGGTTCCCAGCAGGAAAAGGAGAGAGAGATGCATCAGGACATAATGGGGCTTTTCTTGCAGCAAACACAGATGCTACAGGCTCTTGTGGATCTACGGGTTCAACAATCCTGGGGTCTCCTCCCTTTGCAGTCCATGGCGAACTCCATTACAGCACTTCCCTGCAGCCACCCATCAACATTCCACATGGCACCAGGGTCCACAGCCCTACCACACAAGGGGACATTAAGGACCAACAGTGCTTCACTGACCTTATGAAAGCCACGGTAGCTGTATGTGTAGCACAAATGGATATGAATATTCTTTCCCCTTGATACATTTTGTTCTATTAATTTATTAAAGTTTTGAGTGTATTTGCTTTTAAATTGCACAGATTTTTCTCTGCACTGGTTTTGTTACTGAATAAAATTCAATTATTTGGAACATCTTCATCAGTTCATAACATACCTTGCAGAGTGCGTAGCAGTTCTGAAAGCACCCACTTACTTGTTCCTGCATAGTGTGACACAACTCACAGGATCAGTGACAAACCCACACAGTATAATAATCAAAATGTACAGCAAGCAGCACAAAATTAATAGGTACATTGACTGTTACATGCATAGATGTACACCAAGCACCATAAAATTCCTAACAGGCCCCCTCACAGCAGGGCCAGGTAGAGCACACCACACCACACCATATTACTGTGGCTCACTGATAAAGTGCCCTTTCAAAGCCTCCCTGAGCCATATAGCTCCTTGAGATCTTCTAATAGCCCATGTGTCTGGCTGTTTAAACTCAGCAGACAGCTGCTTCACCCTCCACTCCAGCAGCAACTTTTCCCCCTTTGCTTCACAGCTATAATGCAGGGCACAGCAGGCAGCTATAACTATTGGGATGTTTTTCTCACTGAAATCCAATCTTGTGAATAAACAACACCAGCGACCCCTCAATCTACCAAAAGCACATTCAGTTGTCATTCTGCACCTGATGAGCCAGTGGTTGTGCATCAATACAAGCACTCCTGGTGACTATCGCAAAGCGCCGATGCCAGGAGACAAGTGTGCACGCACAAGCGTATACTAACTGCAGCAGCTTTACTCTGACATAACTTGCATCAACCAAAGTTTGTACTGTAGACATAGCGTAAAGGTGTGATGCACAGGTGTACTGGTAAGAGGCCAGTCTTTGTCCTGGCCATAGTCACATAGGTCAGGATTGTGGAAGATTACCACAGTCACATGATAGGGGCATCCTCCGTTAACTCCAGTGAGTACTGTTATATCACAAGTAGCTTAGATTTCTGCAATGTGAAGACAGCGGTCTCATTCCTGAAGTTAAAATGGTCTTAGGACTCACAGATTCATGACAGTAGTGTTTTGGAACAACTAAAGTTCAAGCACTTCTTAATACGATAGATGCGAGTTAAATTATGCTGAAGATCAAATCCTACAGAATTCCAACCCTTAAGGAAAACAATAAAACTAAATTCCTCTCTAGCATTTTCTTTCTGAGGCCTTTGTCATCACTTAGATGCACCCAATTCACCTCTGAGCTTTTCCTAGCACCACTGTCACTAGCTCAGTCAGACAAGTCCTTGGGAAAAGTATAACAAAGTAACCTCATGACCAAATTTGGACTGCATATTGAAATGCAAAGAGATCAGTAGCCTCTTTGTCTTATCAACTGAGATGATATCTAGACAAACGCACAGGGCAATTAATGCCTTTACCACTTCTTTCTACAGAGCCTCAGCATTAGGAACAGTTACCAGTGCATTTCATATTCTGTTGGCCAGACAAAGAGCGAAGAATGCATCTCTGCCTCCAACTTCAGTTGCCCTTTATTTTCCTTGTCAATTAGCTTGTTATCAACCACTCATATGGAAGAAAGCCCATGATTCTTCCTCAGAGATACCAGCATGAATTGGAAGAGTTGGATCTACACAAATTAATGTAGCTGCCTGGTACGAGACCTGTGCGCAAATCTGTTTATATACCCGCCTTGCTGATTGATGAGCCCATTGATGATATATAAGTGAGACCCACAGATTTTTTTGAATGGTTATATTGTACCTATATGGCCTATTGTACCTATTCGTTATTTGTGAAATGACAGAAACTTGTCACCAATGCCTGAATCTACATATATGATGATCTATTTTCATTTAGGAGACAAGATAACTCTTAAAACTTATGCAAGAGTGTGACATGCTCATTCTAAACAATGTCTTCAGGGAAAAGGTCCCCATCCTGCAAAGCTGTTCCCTACATAACTTATTCACACAAGTAGCTCGTGGGCTGGACTCTGATCTCGGGTACGCCAGTGTAAATCCAACAGTAGCTACTGTAACTTGCAAAGAGAGTACTCACCTGAGTAAGGGTTTGCAAGTTTCAGCCCTAATTAACTTGTGGAGCAATCTTAGATGATGAGCTGCAATGGATTTGGGGTCAGAATTAGAGCTGGCTACAAAACAAGAATTCCGTTTTGTGAAAAATTTCAAGGTTTCAGAATTTGTTTTTGTTCTGCAGTGGAACAAAACCATGACCTTTAAAAAATTTTCAGGGGGGCAGAGCAAGAGACCCTTAGCAAGAGCAAGAGACTAGCCTAGTGGTTAAGGCCCTCTCCTGGAATGTAGGAGATGCAGGTTTAAGCCTGTCCTCTGCCTGAGCTCTCTGGTCCTGTGATTATTAATTATTTCTGCAAAGTCCAACAGGAGAAATTGAGACTGACTCTATAGTCCAGTGGGTAGGGCACTTAGCTGGAATGTGGGAGGCATGTCTGCCTGCTTCAGAATGGGCACTTGAACCTGGGTCTACCACATCCCAGGTGAGGGCCCTAATCAAATGACTATTGTGCGGAGGGTCTCTTCTGTTCCCAGAAATTCCAGCTTAGACCTCAGCAACATTTCCATCCAAATTTCCATGGAAAGCTTTGGTTTTGATGAATCGGCATTTTCCAATAAAAACACATTTTGTCAAAAAATTCCTAACCAGCTCTCATTGTGCCCATTTCTAAGGCTTTTGTTCTTCTGATCTTTTACATTTGAAAGGGCTATCATCCTTATCAAAACAAAATGCTTAGAGATAAATCCTGACTGCGAGCTGGACAGAGGCACAAGCTCGGGTAGGTGTGTTGAGGATGGGACCATGGGGCAGAAATTATCCAGCCTGATTCTGGTCCTTAGGCTGAGATTATCACAGGCCTTGCTTGGCCACCTAGGGAAGTGTGAGGTAAGCCACAACCTCCCCCCGCCCCACCACCTGCTTTGACCTGCTCAAAATGTAATTCTGACTGTTTTTCAGGGGAACAGGACCAAATTGCCTGCTACTCCCTGTGCCCCGTGAGCAACTCAGTGGGAAGTGGTAAGATCCCTGCTTCTGCCTCCCCATACTTGTAGGCTGCAATAGCTGTCTGGGGCCAGAGGTGAAGCAGGGGAGGGATTGTAACTCTGGCCATTCTAAATAAGGCACCGAGGGGTTATGGGATATGAGGCCACCTGTTTTAGTGTGTGTGTAACCTACTCAGCCCAGCATATACCTGTCCTACTCTAAATTTCTCCTGATTCTGGCAGGAAAAATCTGTGCATGGCAGCAGTCTGGCACAGTACACTTGACAAAGAAAGTGCTTTTACAGCATTGGTATGCACCTGTTTTCTGGCCAAACCTGAAGGCTGCTGGAATTTGGCCTTTAAAGAAAAAGGGCAAACTCCTCCTCTCTGATCCTATATTGCAGAGCTCATATCCAGGCTGTGGAAGCACTGCTGAATATCATGCCCTCATTTGGGGATCAGAGTAACAGCCGGGTTAGTCTGTGTTCGCAAAAAGAAAAGGAGTACTTGTTGCACGTTAGAGACTAACCAATTTATTTGAGCATAAGCTTTCATGAGCTACAGCTCACTTCATCGGATGCCCGATGAAGTGAGCTGTAGCTCACGAAAGCTTATGCTCAAATAAATTGGTTAGTCTCTAAGGTGCCACAAGTACTCCCTTTCATTTGGGGATGAATTTCCATTGTCGTCATACAAGAAACCTTGCCGAGAGCTCCACACAGAGCAAGTGCAGAATAGGTAACAGATAGCTGCAGAAAGAGTTGAATTTGGCCTGTAAACTGTGCAGCATTATTTTACTGCAATATCATTGGGTGGGTGTAAACCTTCTGATTTTCACTTGAAAAATGTTGGGGAGCAAAACTGAAGTCCTTTGCAAATTATGCAAAAACTCTTGTCTTGTAAAACCATATCCACTTTTGTAAATGTGAATTTCAGAATGAAGGTGACAATTACGTTGCATGTTTGCATTCCAGTAGGAGCTAGAGGCCCTAATGAGGCATTGTGCTATGCACTGTGCATACATGTAAGGTCAGATTGTGATATCCTGATGCACATTAAGTTACACAAGGAGTTGCAGTGAAATCAATGAGATTACTGATGGCATAAGGCAGTATTCAGCATGAGAGGGAGATTGCAATCTGGCCCATAGTAAGAGCCATTCCCTGCCCAAAAGAGCTAAATAGATACAACAGACAGAAGATAGGAGAATGGGAAGATTATTATTATCCTCATTTTACAGATGGGAAATTGAGGCACAGAAGTGCAGATCCTCAAAGGTTTTTAGGCAACTAACTCCCATTGATTTCAATGGGAGCTAGGGTCCTAAATGCCTTTGAGGATCTGAGCCAGAGAGATTAAATGGTGTCTGCATAATTCTTTTTTTTTTTTTTTGTATAAGCAATTATATCATTCTTGATTAAAATGGTGAAAAGAAATGGTGCTTTGTCTCTTTAAGATGAGAGGAACTACCATTGTTAGTCATATATATTTATTGCACTCTACGGTTGTAAAAACACATTTTTGTTTTGAAAGTCATTTATTACATCCATAAACATCACATTGCAGTTGATTGTTCCCTGGATTAGAATGTCCTGGTACTTAGTGAGTTTTGACAGGCGGAAGGAGTGAAAGTAGAACATCTAGTTTTGTTACTAGGTTGGTTTTTAAAAGCAGCTTGTCACTCTCTTGTATGCTACAGCCATTGAGACAGATCTGAGAGGCATTGAATTCAGGGTACACAGGTTTCTGTGTTTATTCTTACTGCTGGACTCGTAGCATTCCAGGCATTGTATACGGTAAGCAGAGATGAAGCTTTCCTGGTATTTTAAATAAGAAGTATTATTTGTTTTGTTTCAGCTCTTTGATTTTCAACAGCAGTTTTAAAACCCTTTCTGAGATAACTGAAAACTATTCCCTGTAATGGAACAAATCTTTTTATTTGCTCTTCGGGTCACTGAACCCGGGAATCGAATAAAATAAAAACACAACAGAGCATGAATTAGATCCTAGACTTTCAGATTACTGTGTGCTTGTCCCATTTTAGAGTCACATTCATGTAATAATCAAATCATTTGGAAAATAAAAGCAAATGTTCCTGAGAAGTATTACTGATATCTCTCATAATTAACTGTAATATTTTGAAGAGTAGCCTAGTGATAATGGATGCTCTCAAAGGAAACAGAAGCTGTTTTAAAGAAATATATTTTATATGTTGGGTATCTATTTCTTACATGTGTATACAACTGATTCTTTTCCAAAATGTATTTTGCATTATGTATGTTATATTCATGATACATTTTGGTATATCAGAAAAGTACAAGAGGCAGCTGTTAGAAATGACAATATGTTGTTTAGAAATGACAATAAATGTGTGTGTGCCAATATATTAAAAATATATTTAAAACATAGGCGAGAATATCAAATGTTTAGCTTGCATTTCCAGAAGAGAGTGAGAGAAATATAGCATATTGTTACTGGACTTCATTTGTGGAGGACAGGGGATTATATTAGCACCATTTTCTCATTTTACTTTTTTAAACCTAACTAAAAGAACCTACTTCTTAAAATCTAGTATCTTGTTTAAGAAGCAGTTGCTGTTTCAAACACTAATTGCATGGTCTTGTGGATAATCTCAGCAAAGAGACTGGGGATTTACTAGATAGAGGAAACCTGAACTACTCTGCTGAGCAAGTTTAATGGACACAGCTGCTGGAGACAGAGAGCTGTCTACACTAGGACCTCCAATGTTGCAAACAACAGTGCAGCTGAACCAGTGCTGGCAATGGTGGGATTTTTACATTTTAATTCCCTACTGTAGACAAGGCTGTAGAGATGGGTTAGGTTTGATTTTCAGGGGAAAGTGCGTGGGAAGTTTGTACTGCAAATGCCAATGCTCTCCCTCTCCTATGGATACTCAGAGGACTCTGTTCTCCAGCGCAGTCAACCTGGCACTTCATATTAGCATTTTATGCACTTACATTTTTTAAAGGTTAGCAACTTTTTAAAGTATACTAAGAATTTTTTAAAGAAAGTCTGTTTTTTTTAAAAAATAAATCAATTAATATATTACCATATAATATAAATTTAGTGGTCTGATCCTGCCATCCTTACGCAGGCAAGATTCCCATTACTCTATTAGGACCTTTTCCCTGGGTAGAGACTACTCCTGGGGGAATTCTGCACCACTGCGGACATGCAGAATTCGTGTGCAGTACAGAATATTTTTTTCTCAGCAGAAAATACATTCTGCCAAGAAGTGCTGCAGTTATGCCTTTCACCCTCTAGGAGCCACTGTGTGCCGGAACAGAGAGCAGCCACTCTGGGGTGGGAGCTGCCCCAGCTGCAGATAGGGAAGAGAAGAGGCTGCGTTCCTCAAAGTGCCCTGCCCATGGGGCAAGGTCAGGAGGCAAGGGATATGGAGGGATGGATAGGGTGTGGCACATGGACCTGCTGGGGGGTCACAGATTGGGGTTCAGAAGGGCCAGTGGGAGGCACAGACTAGGGTAGGGGCTGAATAAGGATGGGGGTACAGGGACACATGGGGCAGAGGGAAGGGGCTGCAGAGACATATGGGGGGGCTGGCTGAGTGGGGATGCAGGGACACATGCGGACAGGGGCAGATGTGCCTGACTGAATGAGAGAGACTAAGGGTCAGCCAGGGTCTGCATGGGGAAGGCTCCCTAACAATCCTTTCCTGCACAAAAAAAAACCCTGTTCCATACTTCTCCCACCCATACCCAACAACCCTCCAAGTTCACACCCAGGATCCTCCAAAGCAATTACTTCCATCTCCCTCAGCTCCTCTGTTACCCTTGGCTCCCCCAAGCTTTTGCACTACTTCTGAGGAGCATAGGAAATACATTTCTGTATCACAGTTCAAATGAATTATTACTCCGATGTCTGTATTAATATGCCTAGTAATTAATCTATTTGTCAAAAAACCTTTCCTGAATCATTTTTGTTGTCTGTATTGTTACAGACATACTTGCTGACAGGTATTCTGAAATAAATTACCAAAATAATTGAAACTGGTGTGATTATATTGTGTTATTTTGACAAATAAAATATGCAGAATTTAAAAATGTTGTGTTCAGAATTTTTTATTTTTTGGCAAAGAATTCCCCCAGGAGTAAGACCTCAGGATTATGCACTTTTCTGCTTTATCCTAAGGATGTTTGTGTAGTACAAAGCAACTTTGCTGTCCTGCTGCATTATCAGTGGTTTAGAACAGAGCTCTGTAACTGGGATTTTACTTGGAAATACTGATACTATGGTTGGTCCTTGACTGGGGCTGTTGGGCACTATGATAATACAAGGATATTATCTTGTAGCATATTGGTAAAGCAGAATGTAGCCTGTAGCATATTGGTAAAGCAGAATGTACGGACTAGTGAGGTGGTCTCTACTGCAGGTGGGATGCATAGATGTTAATTCTCATTTAAGTCCATGCTTGAATGGGGAAGAAGGCATAAGCCATGTGCACAGAGGTAAAAATTAAAGCGTGAGTAGCAAAATCTAATGTAGAAGTAGGTTATCTCCCAAGCAATGTCAACAACAGATACATCTTCCATGTTTACTTTCTAGATTTACCTCATTTAGTCCAAAACTTTGGACACATTTATGTTTAATGTTATTTCAAATGCTCCATCTTACTTTAATTTGCATTCGTGCCACAGACTCTTGTCCAGTCAAAGTTATTTCTTTTTCATATATATTTACAGTTTTACTGAATGTCAGTAAATACAGCCTAAAAAACAAACCAAATGCCAGCAAAGGATATCAAGGCCAGTGAGGATCATAACATTTCAGACAAAAGAGTTAAGGGGTACCATTTTTAATAGTACCTAAGTTACTTTTGAAAATAATGCTTAGGTGTGGAAGTTATTTAAATGCTTTAAAATTTTTTACCCAAGATTTCCTTTTAGAATTATAGGCCTGTTCCACTTTAAAATGTCTATTGCTGATTCCTTCTCTATTGGTTACATTACATTTGGATAAATAGCGCAAAACAAAGAGTTTGGGACAGATCCTCAATTGGTGTAAACTGTCATAGGTCCATTGATTTCTATGGAGCTATGACACTTTATATCAGCTGAGGATTGCCCTTAGACATTTATATATTGTGTGTGAGTGTACATATAGATGATAGAGATAAATGATAGCTCTGTGTGTGTAGATATAGGTGATGGATATAGCTTCTGCAGCTATACTGGGGAGGATATAATCTGGCTGTCGTGTTTCATGCTTCAGGGCATAAGCATAAATAAAAAATCATGTCCCTATAGTATGGCATTTCATAACTAGAGCAGTTACCCACTGTCAGGAATAGAAAGGATACTAGACAAGTTGGATCAAGGGTCTTCCCTAGTATGGTACATCTTAGTTTTTATTGCAAGAATTATTTACTGGAGATTGTCAAAGGCAAGTATATCCTGAATGCCTTTCATTTTGTCAAACATCAGCGTTCTGGAAAGTTGCTCCTTATTTATCTGTCTTAAGGTTTGCTAACATGCCAACTACTGCAGTACTAAGCATTGTAAAGCCAAGATATAGCATAAACCTTTCCTATGTGTCTAAAGTGTACTTGCTGTAGTTGTGTTGTCATAAAGAACAGTAAAGAGCTAGAATTCTCTCCTGCAGTAAGCATTGGTCTCAATGTTTGGTGTATTGCTTTTCCTCCCATTGAAGAATTAGCAATGTTTTACTTGTGAACATGGACACCACTTCTGTAGGTTTTAGGCTGTTTTTTAATATGTACAAAATCAAGAAATTTTACTTGCTGTTTTCTAGCTACCTGGTTAAATCACTCAGTGCTGTCTAGGGCAGTGGTTCTCAAAGCCGGTCTGCTGCTTGTTCAGGGAAAGCCCCTGGCGGGCCAGACCGGTTTGTTTACCTGCCATGTCCACAGGTTCAGCCAATCGCGGCTCCCACTGGCTGCGGTTCGCCACTCCAGGCCAATGGGAGCTGCGGGAAGGGTGGCCAGCACGTCCCTTGGCCCGCGCCACTTCCCGCAGCCCCCATTGGCCTGGAGCGGCGAACCGCGGCCAGTGGGAGCCGCAATTGGCCGAACCTGCGGACGTAGCAGATAAACAAACTGGTCCGGCCTGCCAGGGGCTTTCCCTGAACAAGCGGCAGACCAGCTTTGAGAACCACTGGTCTAGGGTTGCCAACTTTCTAATGGCACAAAACCAAACACCCTAGCCCCAGTCCTTCCCTGAGGCCCCGCCACTGCTCATTACATTCCCCCTTCCTCAGTGGCTCACTCTCCTCCACCCTCACTCACTTTCACTGGGCTGGGGCAGGGGATTGGGGTGCGGGAGGTGGTGAGGGCTCTGGCTGGGAGTGCGGGCTGTGGGGTGGGGCCAGGGATGAGGGGTTTGGGATGAAGGAGAGGGCTCCAGTCTGGGGGGTAGGGTCAAGGGATTTGGAATGTGGGAGGGGGCTCCGGGTTGAGGCAATGGGTTGGGGTGCAGAAGGGGGTGCGGGCTCCAGCTGGGGGTGTGGGTTTTGGGGTGGGGCCATGGATGAGGGGTTCAGGGAGTGGGAGTGGGCTCTGGGCTGGAGAAGGGAGTTGGGGGGCAGGGGGGTGAGGGCTCTGGCAGGGGGTGCAGGCTCTGGGGTAGTGCTGAGGATGTGGGGTTTGGGGTGCAGGAGAAGGCTCTGGATTTGGGCGGGCTCAGGGCTGGGGCAGGAGGTTGGGGCTCGGAGTTGGGGTCACGGGCTTACCTCAGGGGTCTCCCAGTCAGCGGCATAGCAGGGCTAAGGTAGGCTTCCTGCCTGTCCTGGCTCCATGTTGCGCTGTGCCCCAGAAGTGGCCATCAGATCCGGCTCCTAAGCGGGGGGGCCAGGAGGCTCCACGCGCTGCTCTCACCCGCAGGCACCGCCCCTGCAGCTCCCATTGGCCATGGATCCCAGCCAATGGGATTGTGGAGCTGGTGCTCAGGGCGGGGGCAGCACACTGAGACCCCTGGCCCTCCCGCCTAGGAGCCGGACCTGCTGGCCGCCTCCAGGGCACAGCACGGAGCCAGGACAGGTAGGGACTAGACTGCCTTAGCCCTGCAGCACCACTGACAGGACTTTTAATGGCCCGGTTGGCAGTGCTGACTGGAGCCGCCAGGGTCCCTTTTCGACCAGGCTTTCCAGTCAAAAACGGGACGCCTGGCAACCCTAGTGCTGTCCTATCATTTATAGCTTGACTTCCTTTTCAATTTCATGTGTTGGGCCCTCTAGAAAATTAAAATGGGATTCATGCTAAAGCTAATAGAGCAAGTTAATACACAGACTGGCCTTTCTTGTTTGGGGACCTGAATTTTAATCCTAGTTTGGATTACAAAGGAAAATGAATATGGTGGTCTCCTCTCCTCCTGCAGACAAGTTTAAAAACAAAATCGCAGAACTGGCAGTCTCTGGGGAAGTAAGTAAAAGACATTTGCAGGTCAGGCATGAGGTACATTTACTGTGTTGTGTGGGAGAAACTTTCACAACATCTGCTTGCACACTACCTGATTTATGATCATGCTACTAGTCTCTAACTTTCATGAGCACTAAATTCACCTGAAATTTTTTAAGTTAAAAACAAACAAACTAGAGGATCTAGTGGTTTCCTAGGTCTCCAGAAAGGTCAAAATTTTATATTTCCTGTAATGCAGTTTATTTCCACATTGTAGTTACTCACAATGGAGGACAGGGAGTAGGCCAATATCTGGAGTGTGTTTTTGCAGGCAATGGCTGAAACGCACTACAGACTCCACAGTCAACCAGCCAGCTCCGACTCTGCAAAATCACCTTATTTAGCAATGGTGTGTTATGCCCTTGTAAAGAAGACACTTCTGATACTATTACCTACCCTAGAATACAACATGGTTATGGAATGACACTTCCTAGATTTAAGAAGTTACTGAACTTTTCTGCTTTTTACAGTCAGTGCCAAAGATAGGACTAAAGCGTGATCCCAAGCTGTGCTTTAGCTACGTTGAGGCATTAACATGTTGTTACTGGGTTCTTCAGACAGTGTGTTTATAGTGTAAATGCAACCTGTGTGAGCCAGAAAGAGGAAAGTGGGCCAAGATTTTCAAAAGCTATTAGTGATTTTGGGTGCCTCCAGTTTTGGGTGTCCACCCTGAGACACCTGAAAGGGGCCTAATTGTCAGAGGATAGGAGTAGAATTCTTTCTGGAAATCAGATATTTTTCAGATATCTCAAGTTGGGCGTCCAAAATGACCAGCCTCTTTTGAAAACCTTGGCTGTAATCTGTAGCCAGAGGATATGAGACTGTGGTAGAACCAAGGAAGTAGCAAGTCCAGTGGAAGGGGAAAGGTACCATCACTGGCATATCTACATTCCAAACGAATGGTTACATTCAAGGCACCAGAATAGCTGCTTTGCTTTATATGTTTCTTTGATGCGGACCCACTGCGAAAACAGGACAGACACGTGGATGGATTTTAAGCCAAAAGCTACAAATCTTATTAAACTTTAACACAGCGGAGGGACCCTACCTACAATCACCCCTGCTCATCTGTACCAGGTATTTAGTTGGTTCCAGTGCAAGACTTCCAGAGCTCCTACCACATCACTCATAACTCAGTGTAGGCACTCCTCAGCCTACCCCCTGGTACTCTGCTCATTCTGAGTGGCAGCACAATGTACCCTCTCAAGGGGAACAAAGGGTGCAGCAGAATGGGCACTCTGCCCGTGAGGGCCCTAACATCTCACTTTGTCCCAAAAACCCAAGGCCCATCACCAAAATCCTAGGTTGGAAACTGTTTGTTTTATCCCTTTAACTGTGCTGGAACCAGCTGCAAATTGTGACAAATCAACAACTCAATCAAAGTACCCCCGTTAGGTACCAAACGCATTCCTACTTAACCCACTGTGGCTTGAAGGTGCTGCGAAGAAGGCAAAAAACTCTCTGGTCCTCTGCTACTTGGCCCAGGGGGGAAAAAGAATCTTTCCTGACGCCCCTAATCAGACGATGAGCTAGGTCTGCAGCCTCTGTCAGGCCAGGTTCCCATTCCTAGTTCAGTGTGGGTAGGGTGGGGCTGCAGGAATAAAGTCCAAAGAGGCTCCACATGGCTCCCTATTCCAGGTTAAATCCTGGGAGCTGGATTGCTAGCCAATCAGCACCCTTTTCCCCTCCAGCTGGCCAATGAGTGCCAGAGACTCCAAGGGAGAGGTCCTTCAGTGAGTAGCTCCTTACCTCACTGCTGGGACTGTCCCCCTTCACTGATGGCTCCATCAAGTTCCCCGACCTGTTGCAGCAGGTGGGTGGCATTTGCCAGGCCCTAAAGTTGAAGTAATGCATACAGTGTCAGACTTCACTGTCTTCTCTTTCTGTGTCGTGTACTATGTTTTCCCATTGTTTTGTTTTTTAGAGAAAGAGGAATTGTTCCAGAGTGTACTGACCCAGGTTGCTGAACAATTCTCAAGGTAAAAACTTTACATCGTTGTTATGAATGCAAAGTTCTATTTCTTTTATTGACCCCGGCTGAGGCTTTCAAAGGGGGCTAAAGAAGTGAGGCACCCAACTTCCACTGGAATTCAAAGGGAGTTGGGCACCTCATGACCTTAGAACTCTTGACAATTCCAGCCTTACTGCCAGACTCAGCCCATACAACTCCCATTGACTGCAACGAGGAGATGCACAAGGCTTAGGCCAAGATGGAATTTGGACGGTATTTCCAGAAGAAAGGAAAGGTTAATTGATTTAATTGTGCTTCCATCATCTTATTGGCGGCAAAAAAAAGTGCTGCTTTGTTTAGTTTTGTAGGCTCAGCATCGGTTTATCAATTTTCATGTGCACATTTTTCTTCCCTCAGATAATAATTCTGAATGTTTTTCGAATGCTTGTTTTATCCTCACTGGCTTCAGTAGGAGGGATCAATTCTGCTACATCTCTGCAAGCCACCAATCTGATTGAAAGAAAAAAGAGCTTCAAAGTGTACAAATACCTGTATGCTGGTCTTGAAGCACTATCAATTTAGTTTTGCTTCCCTAAGGGGCATGATAACAAGTATCTGCTGGAAGATGGGGTGATGACTTCATTTTCTTAGAGCCATAACTATAACATTCTCTTTTAATTTTCATGGACTCTCCATCGCCTTTGAATGTGCACATATCTTTCTTCAAGGTTGTACATTCAGCACAGATTTTGCTGTTCTTTACTTGCCGTTAAATGTCATTCCTTAGTCCACCCTTTGAAACTGGTGTGTGGTTTCTAGCAGAAAATCTTTTCTTTCTTGTGTACATATAGATATAAATGTATATTTCAGATCTGAATTTGTTTCCCAGGGTGTTTAAAATCAATGAACTGAAAACTGAAGTAGCAAATCACTTGGCAATGCTGGAGAAAAAAGTTGAACGTAAGTGCCCTTTATTTTTTAACACAATTAGGAATTACTATACATAAAATCGATATCTGTTTAATTATAATACAAGGGACTGGTAGCATTGCCTATTATTAAAGTCTCCTGACACTTCTTATTATATCACTCTGTTTTCAGTTACTTATGACTTTTACCAGACTTTAGACATTTGGGCTGAAATTTTCCATGCTGGGTCTTTGCTTGAGGCTGAATTGTTCTGGAAATTTTCAGCCAAAAAAGTTAAGTCATTTCCAAGAAGCTAGGGGAAAATATGGTGTTTTGTCCATGTTAAAACAATTCTGGTGACCTTTTCATTGACAAGCTCTAGCGCCCCTATGCTTTGGAGAAGGGACTTGAAAGTTGGGAAGGGAGGTGGTCTTTATGTCAGGATGTGCCTTTTTCTGTCCCTATGAATATTTGCCCAAATTTGGACAAGTAATAAGCCTTTGAAAAATCACAGTTTACACATGCTCAGTAGAGACTGCTTCAATTTTAGCTGCTAAATTCCCCAAATATTCCATCTGTACTGAGCACACTCCAGTCCAGTGATTAGCAGGATTTTCTGCACAATTGTAGTTCTGAGCTGCCATGGGCCAGAGCAGGGCCAGACATTGAAACTGAGGGCAGACAGCCTGTCTCTCCACGCCCTTCTGCTGCTGATGACAAGGTAGCGTGTAGGAAGAAGCTGCCTAATTTGAATGCAGAGGGAACAAGAGCCTCACCTGCAGGGGAGGCAGAGGGAGCAGATGGTGACAAGGAGCCTGTGGGAAGACTGGGACTGGAGACTGGCAGGGGGAAGAGGGAAACGGAGACTGGAAGTTGAGGGCGGGGGGGACTGAAAGCTAGGGAGGGAAACAGGAGGGGACTGGGAGCCAATAGATTTAGGGGCTGCTGAGAATGGAAGAGAAGGTGGGGGGGACTGGGACTGGATGGACAAGGAGACTGGAACTGAGAACCAGGGTAAGGAGATGTGGGAGGAGGGGAGACAGATCTGACAAAGAGCTAGGGTATGGAGGAGAACTGGGAGGGGCCCTGGGATTGGGGGAGAGACTGGTACAGAGAGTCCAAAGAGTTGAGACTTGGAGTCGCTAGGTAAGGAGACTGGGCCTGGGAGGAGAAGCTGAAGGAGTGGAGGCTGGGATGGGAATGAGGAACAAGGGATGGGGAAGAGAGGGCTGGGACAGGGACATGTTGGAGGGGATGGGGTTGAAGGGGTCATGTTTATGGGGGACAGACACTACAATACACTCCCATCCAGAGCCTGACATGGAACGAAGGATTCCTGAGTCTCACCTTTCCTCTGCTGTCAGCAAATATCTGTGAAACCCATTGTCAAAGTGTCCTGTCCCGTCCCCCTCTTCTGCTGGTCCACATGGAAGATGACCACATGACAACCTACTACTGTCGGTTACTCTATCAACTCAAGTGGCAGAGTTCTGTGAGGTGGATCTAAAGGTTCCAATCCTGCTAATGACCCATGCTGGTGACAATAAGTTGCCACATGATGGAATTTCTGTTTTTTCGGTTGGCTTTTTAAAAAACCTAGGAAATTATACACATACAATACTGTGTTAACAGAACAATATAAGGTTGCAAAGTCAAGCACTCAAAAGTTAGGAAATGCCAGAATTAAGGTGGCTTGTGCTACCTTAATTCAGCCCCCTTGTGTGTATGCATGCATTATGATACAGTCCTTAATTACATGATCACATTTAATTTTTTTTCTTCAGGACCTCTGCCTCATTTAGTACACAGGATAGAGCTGCTCTGGAGAGGAATCAGGGCTGTGTAGTAAAAGAAAATGTTGTCCGAGGGACTTCTGCTTTATTTGCTATAGAAGTTGGAAGGTGTGCAGTGAATAAGGCACGGGACTGCAGGAAGAGGAAGGATAGTTTCATGGTTACAGTAGTTGAATGCTGGCTTGGAGAATTAGATTCTGTCCCTGCCTCTGCCACAGAGATCCTATGAGATGCTGAGCAAGTCACTTAAACCACACTTTTCAAAGGTGGTCACCAATAGTATGTCCGTCCTTTTCTGGATTCCTGATTTGAGACCTTGGCATCTGGTTTACAGAAATGCTGAGAATTCAGAGCTGCAACGGCAGTCAGTGGGAGGTGGAAGGTGAACATATAAAGTGGTATAGAATGCTAAGCACTCTGAAAAATGAGGTCCTAGGCATCTCAAATTGGGCACCGAAACTTAGTGGACCGTAATTAAAATTTTTACCCTAATCTTGCTGTGCTTCCATTCTCCATCTGTAAAATGGAGATAATAGGGATTGGGAAGATAAAGTAATGTTTGTTAAGCACTCAGATAACCTAGTGATTAGCGTGAAAACCAATGAGGAAATTAATAATTGTATATTCAGAGCAGGGTTTGAATAGTGTGCAGTAAATCAGGCCTGGGGCCACATATTGAACAATGAAAAGAAAACAAAATATCAAATAGCTGCTCATTAAATGAGCACTGCCCATCCTGTGCACTAAATGAGGAAGAGCGCCTGTGGAAAAAACAGTATGTGATCGTGTAATTGAAGACTGTATGATAACGCATGCACACAAGGGAGCAGAATTAATTCTGGAATTTCCGATCTTTTAATGCTTGACTGTTCAACCTTAATACTGTACTTTTAAAATACGTTGGGTGTGTGGATGTGATATATATATTTATAGTGCTGTTTTCACTTTTATGTGAAGTACAACTCCAAAGGATAAGTGCCTACACTCAATAAAGTGTAGTCCTGTAAAATATAGTCTCATTCCTTGAATTTTTTAGTGCTTTTTAAAAATTAATTAAACGATGATAATGTAGCTAGCTTCTTCCATTTTATGTGGTTATGCTGGATATCTGTACAAATCAGAACCCTTGTTAGTCATTTACACTCCCTTCCCTTACAGTCAACTTCTTTCATTAATACATTTACCATATATTAAAGAGAATACCATTGAATACCTTCTTCTCATTGAATACTTTAAACTTCCCATTATTAGCATTAGGTTTTTAAGGTATTTCCAATATATGTGAAAATATCTCACTTTCTTTTTCCCTTTCTGTACTCTCACACTGGATGAAATCTGGATCTCACTGAAGTCAAAGGGAAAAGCCCCATTCAGATCAATGCAGGTTTTCACCTGCTGTGGTTTCTATTCTAGCTGCAGCACACACACTGATTCTGAATATGTAATGTAAGTAAAATGTAAAATACTATACTGTCCACACCAATAAATATACTGCACATATAAAATAGACTACATCTATTTCGTGTGACTTCACATAGTTTAGGCAACAAAGGCTACCTGTGCTCTTTATTAAAGAGGCAGAGGCTTTAAATTACCTTGGCCGAAACTGGAATTGTAAACACAGAACACCCACGCCTTTCGTCCCCTGTTTCCTGGTTGCAGATTAAAACACTGCAAGGCTCTATTATTGTTTCTATTCTTCCTTATTGTTTTAACAGTAAAATGATTGTTCTTAGTTACTCTGCAGCACGAAAGTAAAGTTCAAAGCAGCATTTTTCTATATACAATCTGATTTTTATTTTTTCAGCCTGTGTAGTGCATAAAATAGACCTATGGAAGAGAGGGCAACAGGACACATAAAGCACTGTCATACAGCACAGTTTCGACATGGTCAAGTTCTCATTTATATGCTCCATGGGCATAGGCACATTTAAGACAGAAATTGAGAGAACCTTCTGCCGCACCGCAGCTGCAGCAATGCCTCTTCACTCTAGGCTAGTACGAGCAGCTTGCCAGAATCCATGGACCAGAGCAGGTGAGGCCAACACTTCTGTGGGGCTCCCCGTCAAACGGGTATACAGAGCAGGCACCAGAGAGAGTGCTCTGTCAAACTATGCCAGCCAGCCAAATGCTTCCTTCTTCCACTGGCTCTCTCCCTGGTGGCTTACTAAACCCTAGCTGCAGATCATAGAATCATAGAATCATAGAATATAAGGGTTGGAAGGGACCCCAGAAGGTCATCTAGTCCAACCCCCTGCTCAAAGCAGGTCCAATTCCCAGTTAAATCATCCCAGCCAGGGCTTTGTCAAGCCTGACCTTAAAAACCTCTAAGGAAGGAGATTCTACCACCTCCCTAGGTAACGCATTCCAGTGTTTCACCACCCTCATAGTGAAAAAGTTTTTCCTAATATCCAATCTAAACCTCCCCCACTGTAACTTGAGACCATTACTCCTCGTTCTGTCATCTGATACCATTGAGAACAGTCTAGAGCCATCCTCTTTGGAACCCCCTTTCAGGTAGTTGAAAACAGCTATCAAATCCCCCCTCATTCTTCTCTTCTGCAGGCTAAACAATCCCAGCTCCCTCAGCCTCTCCTCATAACTCATGTGTTCCAGTCCCCTAATCATTTTTGTTGCCCTTCGCTGGACTCTCTCCAATTTATCCACATCCTTCTTGAAGTGTGGGGCCCAAAACTGGACACAGTACTCCAGATGAGGCCTCACCAATGTCGAATAGAGGGGAACGATCACGTCCCTCGATCTGCTCGCTATGCCCCTACTTATACATCCCAAAATGCCATTGGCCTTCTTGGCAACAAGGGCACACTGCTGACTCATATCCAGCTTCTCGTCCACTGTCACCCCTAGGTCCTTTTCCGCAGAACTGCTGCCTAGCCATTCGGTCCCTAGTCTGTAGCTGTGCATTGGGTTCTTCCGTCCTAAGTGCAGGACCCTGCACTTATCCTTATTGAACCTCATCAGATTTCTTTTGGCCCAATCCTCCAATTTGTCTAGGTCCTTCTGTATCCTATCCCTCCCCCTCCAGCGTATCTACCACTCCTCCCAGTTTAGTATCATCCGCAAATTTGCTGAGAGTGCAATCCACACCATCCTCCAGATCATTTATGAAGATATTGAACAAAACCGGCCCCAGGACCGACCCTTGGGGCACACCACTTGATACCGGCTGCCAACTAGACATGGAGCCATTGATCACTACCCGTTGAGCCCGACAATCTAGCCAGCTTTCTACCCACC